AACTTGATGAATAACTGTAATTTGAAGGGTGCGGCTTATGGTGTTAATCCTGAGATGAAAGGGAACAAGAGGCCAGCATCAGAAGACAGGTATTTGTTATTCACTTTCTTGAGTATTTAACTGACCTTCTGGGATTGTTAATTCCATGCTTTGAGGTAGGAAGCTCCCTGATTTGACAACTAAGTCTTGAGTAGTTACAAAGATTATTCAAGAAAGATTTGGAAGGAAAATAAAAATATGGACCAAGGAAGATCTTATGTACTGATAATTGTTCCATACATTGCTTGGTTAAATTTCTAAACGTTAGCATGTGTCTGATTTCTATTGATATATGGTGAGAAGAAGTATCTGAGATCTTTTACTAACCGTATATTATATCACCAATAACCATATGCCGATGGATGCAGCTTTTTTAGTTGGTTTTCTGAGACTCAGCTGAAAGACATTGCGGATGGGCTTAGTGATGAGGTAATTGTTGTATCTGGCTGCTTGATATTATTTATTTTGTTGCATTCATTGCTAATCATTTGATGAGTTCATGATTATATGGCAACTTATGTAACAATTGATTGATGAAATAAATTATCTTTCGTCTTTTCTCTGATTTTCTTATCAGAAACTGAATACATTGTATAGTGCAACAGACATAAGCTTATAAAAGTCCAGTTTCTTTCAGATATTAAATATGTTTCCCTGTGACTGCAGGTGGGCGAGATAATTAAGGAGGACTTATGGCCTAATCCGCTGAAATATTTTAACAATGTAGTGACTTTTTACCTTTTCTTTCAAGGTTATCTTATGTGTTGTCCTTTCTCCTTCACTTGTTCAAGCTAAGAGAAATTCATTCTTTGCTTATAGGAAGCTGATGAAGAAGATTTTGATGGGGACGACGACGACGACGATGATGATGATGATGAAGAGGTAAACATTGATGAGATTAGACCATTTTCTTTTTTGAAGTTGCTTGATTTGGACCTTCTGGTTTTATGCTAAGCTTTTATGACCAGCCTATCAGATCTTCTGATTATTTGTGGTTGAATGTACTATGATGTTGTTGCTTAACCTTTAGTCCGTTCCTATCTCACTTTTCCTTGTTAAAAGTAGAAACCTTTATTCACTAAATAGATGGTGCAAATGTCAATAAAAAAAATCCAGTGATGCATAATTATCCCCTAAACATTTTAGTGTTTGAGTTGAGCCAATTTGGAGTTGAGCTTTTATAGGTCTTGGATTTTCACAACTACTATACTTTAGTAATGGTATATAGAAACTGATGCACTGTGGTGAATTCAGTTGTCTTGGATTGCTTTAGTAATCAATGGTCATAGTACTGTTTTATCTGACAATTAATTAAAGCCTTGGAAGGAAAACAAGAATGTACGAAAGAAAGTGGTCGGACATAGGCAACAGGTAATAAGAGGGCAAGCTGAGGCATTAGGAGAAGAAATCTACACTTTTCAAATGTATTTTATAGCCTTATGTTAATTGACATTATTCTCAAACACGTGTATTCATCTTTCACCATTAGAAAGTTGTTACAATGTGTAAAGGAGGGGATTTCAGGGTAAATTGGGACAAAAAACATCCTGGACACCCATACATGTGGTCCAAGCTTGCACAGAAATCTAAGACTCAAAGCTATGAAGTTGCATATGCATTACCTAATTGTTTATTTGTATAACTTCTGCGGAGGAAAGGTGTCTTTACCTGGCGGGAAACTAACTCATTACTTCCCGCCTTGTGTAAATGAAATATGATTTTTAGGTGCGCTGAATTGCTAGAACGTTGCCACTCATGCCGTGTATGTGTTATCATATACAAAGGAGTTTTATCATCCAGACAACAGGCAAATAAGCGATATACATCCATTATTACCGTCTGATATGTGCATAATCTGTCTTGAAGGCTTTATGTATTTTATACACCTGATATTGTATATGCTCTATTTTGAAAGTGCGCGGACATTTTGAAGTTTGGTTATAACATGTTATATAATGGGCTTTTGAACTAATTTTTTATTCCTCTCGATCAGGATAACGATGATGACGATGTGGATGATGAGGATGACGGCTGAGCTCTTTAATTTATCCCTTCTTCTAAGCTCCGCTCAAATTGGTGTCAAATATAACTTTAAAACTTGTTGCATAATCAAAACTCATAGGTAGCTTTGCCATCTGATTAACAGTTTTTTATACTATTTCGTAGTTAGCCAAGTGCTGGTGGATTTACCTGGGATGGATATAGTAGATGCTTTTGATACACCAAAAACTCTTCAATCCTGGCCTCATTTGATTAGCAACTTGTGCTTTTCGTTGTCAAAAGGATACCACGGTGCTCTACAATGTGATGAGTTTGAATCGGTTTACGAGCTTTTGAGTTCCTCATTATATTGAGTTGTGCATGGATTCAACTGTTAGGTTGAAATCTGCTCTTTGATCAGTGAATCAAAGAGGAATTTCGCTTTATTCTCAAGTCCGGTGGCTCGGTTGATTGCTAGTTGCTAGCCTTGTAGTCTGTTGGCGTCTTCCATCCTTCCATCAAGTGCTAATCCTTTTAGTCTGTTGGATTAATGTTTGCTCTTTGATCAGTGATTTATCGGACCACTATATTCAGGAAAAACACTTATCCTAATATTTGATAAGAGCGATAAAGCCCTATTTTTTAATTATTTTTTCGGGGTAGGGAAATAGGGGAGAGGATTATAACATGAGGAATCGAACTTAATGGAGAATTCAGGTTGTCAATCAAATAAGCTACTAAGATTTCTTCCTGTACATTGATTATAAAGACTGTTCGGTTTAAAAATCTTTAGCAAAGATTATCACAAGAAAGAAGACCAAAAAGCTGTTTGATAGAGAAAAAATGATTTTAGTTTTGTATACTCAAATCTATACAAAAATTGGTTTTCGAAATTTGTTTAAAAATTATTTGAAATATTCATTACATTTACTTGAAAAGTGCTTTTCAACAACTAATTGTTAGAACCAGACCGGTTAATGTACGAAAATAGCATATAAAATTTTAAGAAAATAATAATGCATATTTTCGTACATATTGTTTTTTTGTAATATATAATTATGGTGCTTGAGTTTCTTGCTTGTAGCTCAATTAATTTTATTTAATTAACTCCATCTATCAAGAAGGACAAAATAGGATGTATCATCTTTAATATAAAATAAAATACTTGAGGAATTCTTACTTTAGATTCAAAAAAAAAAAAAGAAGAGAAGAATAGACCCCAATAAATTATCCTTATTCATCAAATTAACCTGGCTTGATTTATACATAAATGAATAAAAAAAATGTTTTATGTTTTGCACCATTAACAACTTAGCTATCCAAAATTTTGGATCTACTTAATTACTAGCATTTCAAATGAGTAATGTAGAAAGTATTTATTCAGCCGTTCATTTTCACTAGTCAATTTTAGCATATTATAACACAAACATATTTTTCATTCTTTATTTTTAATATTAATTATTTCCAATTTTGAAGATTCAAAAGAAGCATAAATTGATGACATTTTTCCTTTGACAGAGTTTGTGTTTTATAGACCTCAAATTGATCAATTTTACCAACCAAACTAGAAACTAAAAAGCGAATAAAATAAATTCCACAAAAGGAATATACATGTGCGGTGTGCCACACAAAAGAAAGCGCAACATACGAGTATTGTGGTGAAGTGATAAATAGTCTTTCATTCTTAAACAGCATGCGAGATTCACATTGAAGCACCAACATATTAAGTGAATTATTGAGATATTTTATTTTCTTAGAAAGTAACATTTATATTTTTGTTATGAAATAAAACTGGGTCTGAAGTAAATTGTGCTAAAAAATTGAAGAAATGAGAATCGAGCCGTTGACCACAAGGAGTTAAATGAATATACTGTCAACTCCAATAATCATAAGTTCGCACAGAAAATACATTAATTCAAGAGAGCAAATGGACCTTATGAGAATGATTTAGAATTTTATTGTGCAAATTCCTATATAGATGTGAAATGTAATTAAATTATTTTTTTAATGATTATACGCAAAAGTTATTCAATTATTTATTACCTTGATTATGAATAGAAATATTTTTTTGTCAAACCTATTTTTACAAAAAAGTTAGGAATTTATTTTTAAAAAAGTAGGGGTAAAGTAATGGAAAACGGAGAGAGGATTACAAACTTTTACCAACAAAGCGGAAAAGATTGTTCCCTATGTTTTATTCGTGTAAGATTTCGAGGAAAGGATTAAAATAGTCGTTTCTCTCTTTGGGTTAAGGCTCAAAGTGATCCTTGAGTTTTTACTTAGAGCATTAATAGTTCTTTTTATCTGTAATATTGGTGCACTTTTGATCCTCCTTCAAAATTTTATTTAACTTTTAGCATTAATTTTATCCACAACCTATGTATGAGATGTTCAATCGTCATTTTATATATATAGTAGAAATAACAACTCCACATGAAGAAAAACACTTTATTTTGTTTAATAGAAATCGTACTGCAGGTAAAGTCGAGAGGTTTATCATGATAATTTCACGTGCAATAATACAATTTTTTCTTTTCATGCAAAGTCATATGTTAAGATATTTTTAGTTTAGCTGAAGTAATATTTCTAGTGAACACGACAATGTGTTTTTATTATGACCTTTTCTCAGATAGAGTTTTATTTCTATTATATATATAAAAAGACGATTGAATATTCTCATATAAATTTTGGACAAAATTAATGCTAAAAAATAGATAAAATTTTACGGGAGGATAAAAAATGCACCAATATTACAAACATGAGGGACTATTAGTGCGCCATGTAAAAACTGAAGGATCACTTTAAGCCTTAACCCAAAATTATCAAATACGGTATTTCCAGTGTGCCGTGTAAAAACACCGTATTTCCTGTGTGCTGTGTCTGAAATTCACAGTAAAATACGAATATATCTAAAACTCGAATTCGAAATATTTCCGTAAAAGTAAGGTCAGTTATTGCCTATAGGTGTGTCAAAGTTAAGTAAAATTGAAGGGAGAGAGTAAAATAGGAGAAGAAATATCCCAGTTGAGTGTCCCAACTCTTTATCTGCTCTCTGCTCTTCTTCTTCCCCAATTTTGAAGCTTCAATGGAAGTGATAATAGTATCATCTAACGCAAAAACACCTATTCACCTGCATACAAACCAACCACAACCACCCATTCTCAATAACTCTGTCTTTTTGGGCCGTCGAGAGCTCTGCTTCGATAGCATTTCCACTGTCTGCTCTGCTGATCCCATCACTTCTAATCCATCTACCTCTGTTTCCGCTCCCAGGTAAACATATTATCTATCTCTTTAGACTTACATTTTTACTGCACAATGAGTTTAATAAGCAAAAATGAGAAGATTTTTGACAAAGTAGGATGAAAAAAATGGGTATCTATCAGTGAGTACAAGTGGTGAAGTGAGAAATTTTGTTAAGGATACTTTCAAAGTTTGGTATCTATCAGTCTCATTAAAATTAAGTACTTACTCAATACTTGTATTATATAGCACATGATTTCATGACCTTTTTGTTGTTGTTGTCATGGTAATGTCACAGGGGTGGTGGAGATAATGGCAATTCTTTGATTGAGCAACTACGGAGAAGCTTCCCTTTTGCCACACGGAGGATGTTATTAACAAGCTTTTTCATGTATTCATGTTATCATCCTTCAAGGTACTTGTCAGGTTCGCACGTTCTTACTGTTTCCTTTTCTTTTACTTGTCGCCTTTGAAAAGCCAGCACTTGAATTCTGTTGGGCCACGCAGAAAAAAGGAGGAGTGTTTGCGGTAGGTTAGTATAACACAGTGATAAACCTTATGAAAGTATGAAAATTAGTTCAGTGGAATGGATGTACAGAATTTGTATATTGACTCCATCCAACTAGAGGTATAGTTTATTGCTTATAGTAACAGGGAACCCAACTGTGGTTATGCAACTGAGCTAGCTCTCTCTTCCCCTAGTCCCCAATGAGCAAAACCTTATTCTTGTGTGGTTGGCTACTGAAAAAGATACAAAGCTTCATGATGAATTTGCTTCCTCTTTATCATTTGTTGAGTATGCGTCCTTTATTTGGGTTCTAACCATGTAACCTACTATATGATATACAGCACTTGCTTTGGGGGATCCGTCTGTCACAGTTGAACAAGTTACACCTACTATTTTTCCTTCTGCAGCACTTTTCCCTTTGGAGGTTCAGTATCATCACCTGCTCAGCTTATTCTTTATTGTTTTTGTTATGTTAGATCATCGTTTATCCGGTACATGTCTAATTGGCAGGAAAGAGTTGTTGAGCTCTTTGAGAAGAACACTTACTGTGTTGTCAACATATTTGATGTAACCTTGAGACCGACGCTTAATGTCACTGGTATGGTTGAGGTAAATTTTATGGACATCTGCAAACATTTGCTTCTCCATTTTCAGTGTTATGCTTACCAAACTCTTCGGTAATTTAGCTTTGGATTTTCTGTCTTCATGGATATATGGTGCCTCAACCAACACACTTTTTGTCCCTTCATAAATATTCTGTGTTTGAAAGCAGCTACATTCAATATGTTTAAACAATGGCAGATTCCTGAAGGAAATGGTTCGGGGGTGATTTGGGACAAAGAAGGCCATATTGTTACTAATTATCATGGTAAGATCACTTCAAATATGGTACCTGAGTGCATTAGTTATTTGTGTAATATACTCCCTGCATCCCAATAATCATGGGGTTCGGAGTATGAGAAAACTGTCTAATAAAGGCTTCATCTAAAAAATAAAATTGAATTTTATGACCTCAAAAACCAATTTCAGTGTGTTGGATGGGCTGTGCAATTCTTGGTTAAACAGTTCTCTTTATATGTCCAGTGATTGGTAACTCCCTTTCTAGAAACCCAAGCCGTGGGCAAGTAGTTGCACGTGTTAATATTCTCGCTGCAGATGGGTGAGTTGTATTCTGTTTTAGCATATACTTAATGGGGATGATACAGCTTCATCTTACTCTCCATCTTATGCCTTCACTCTCTTTAATTCATTTTGTTTCTTTCTGAAGGGTGCAAAAGAATTTTGAGGGTATATTAATTGGTGCAGACCGTGCCAAGGATCTTGCAGTGTTGAAGGTAAGCATTATTTCCAGAATCCCTATTTTGTCTAAATCTGGAGAATTCTGAAGTTCATCGGCTACATTTGCTTTAGTTATGTCATCTTGTTCTTATCTCTTATAGCTATAGTTAGAGAAGAATTAGATAATAATAATAATAATACTATTGAAAAGGAGAATAGGAGAAGATAATGTGCTCCAAGCTATAGCTATGTTCTCCCACAGGAAAGAGAGAAAACACTACTACTTGCTAACTTTCTACTAATCCTCGATCTCCATGCTCTTGTCTAGATCATGTCCTCTGTGAGCTGAAGATGTGTCATGTCCTGTCTAGTCATCTCTTCTCAATTCTTCTTCAGTTTACCTCTACCTCTCGTTAAGCCTATCGCTGCCAACCTCTCGCACCTCCTCACTGGGCCTTTGTGCTCCTCTCTTCACATATTCGAACCATCTCAACCTCGCGTCCTGCATCTTGTCCCCTACGCACGTCTCTACCACCTTGTCCCTTATATCTTCGTTCATAATCGTATGTCTCCTGGTATGCCCACACATCCATCTAATCATCCTTATTTGTGCCATTTTCATCCTTTTAAGATATGAGTTCTTGACTAGCCAACCCTTTACCCCATACAACATAGAAGGTCTAATAATCACTTTGTAGAACTTACTTAAAGTCTTGGTGGAATATTCTTATCACATAGGACACCAGATGTGAACCTCAATTTCATCTATGCCTCTCCACTACGACGTGTGACATCATTGTTTATCTCGCCACATCCTTATACTTGAAGCTTCCTCTCTTGGGGATGAATTGTGTGTTGATCCTCACTTCCACATCTGCCTCTTGTGATTGTCATTTACTTAAAATGGTTGATAATCGTTTTGAAGTTATCAGAAACAACTTCAGTTGATTCTTACAGAACAATAAGATCTACCTATTTATCCACTTAAAATTTGCTGTCTTTCAAAAAGTGAGATGGAAGGCATCTAGATATATGTAGAGCAATCTTACGGTGGGATTTTAGTGGGATGAAATGAGCTGTTATAAATGATATAGAGCAAAAGTGTGTCAGAGAGAGAGAGAGAGATGGTTAGATATGGTGAGAATAACACTGTAATGCATTGTGCTTTAATTGGAAAACTGGGTGGAACAGATGAATGGGGTGAGGTTGCGATTATCATATTCCCTATGGAGGAATATAATCCCAGTGCATAATTTGCATTACGTGATGACACATCCAGGAAAGAGCTGTATGCCCTATTTTTTGTTCTTCTTTTACACTCCTATGGAATCAATATATTTAGAAGTTCTATTTGCTTGAGAAATGAAGTTGGTAATGTGCATTTTGGCATTTGCATTTTTTTTTGTTCTTTTTAACTCAAAACTTACATTTTTGACACCTTATGACTTCACATCTTGAAATGCAAGGTGGGAGCTTCTGAAGACCTGTTGAGGCCAATAAGGGTTGGTGAATCTTCTTCTTTGAGAGTTGGCCAGCAATGTTTAGCCATTGGAAATCCTTTTGGGTTTGATCATACACTCACTGTTGGGGTTATCAGTGGACTTAATCGAGATATATATAGTCAAACTGGAGTGACCATTGGTGGAGGAATACAAACAGATGCAGCCATCAACCCTGGCAACAGGTTTATTTTTCTGAACTTGTACTTCCCTTGGTAACAAATGCATTCCCTCTGATGCTGATAATCATTAAAGGCCTCTTTTGCCCTTCTCTTTTTTCAACTGCTGTTCTGTGAATAAATATGTGTACCTTTCCAGCGGAGGTCCTTTGTTAGATTCAAAAGGAAACTTGATTGGGATCAACACTGCAATATTTACTCAGACAGGTGAATAGTTTTTCCATCGTTGTGTGTTTTAGACTGAAGATTGAGAGGAGATGACAAGAAACACTTATTTGAATGTTCAAAGTTTATCCTTTCGTACTATTACTTACTCTTCTTCAGTACAACAGGGACATCAGCAGGTGTTGGATTTGCAATCCCTTCTTCAACTGTGTTGAGAGTTGTACCCCAATTGATCCAATCTGGAAAAGTATGAATGTTGCTCTATTAATTCATCTCTTAGTTCTTGTCAGCTTCTTTTCCTGGTTTTCCAGAATTCTCTTTAAGGTTTTTATTCATTATTTATGTATATGTATGTCTTAAACAATGTCAGGTTCTTCGTGCTGGTTTGAATATTGAAATCGCTCCAGACTTGATTGCCAACCAACTTAATGTTCGAAATGGAGCACTGGTTTTGCTGGTACATTTCTGTCACTATGACCCTGGGGGTGGGGAGACGGTATCTTTCAGAGTAAAACTCACGCTATATCTTTCATCTGAATCTATTCCTGCTCTATTTAGGTACCTGGAAATAGTCCTGCAGCGAAAGCTGGACTTCTTCCTACTACCAGGGGTTTTGCAGGAAATATAGTACTTGGTGATATTATTGAAGCAGTGGATGACAAACCTGTGAGTGCTTTCTTACTTTCTTATATTACGCCACAAGCTTTTTGTTAGTGCAAATTTGATGATGTGAACATTGTCTAGGCTTCCAACCTGCAGGTCTAGAGTTTAAATCATCCTACAATGATTGATTTTTGTTGCTCCTTTTTCTAAGCGATTTCTGAGATGCACTCATTTCATGTTATTGCAGGTTAAGAGTAAAGCAGATTTGTATAAAATCCTGGATAATTATAACATAGGTGATGAAGTTCGATTAAAAATCCGTAGGGGCAACGATAACTTGGAGTTGATCATAGCATTAGAGGAAAAGGATTCATAACAATTGAAGAATTTTTTGCAGTAATCTGGAAAAGGCGGAAATGTGCGAGCAATGAACATGTTCCATGGAAATTGCCAGCAGAATGTAATGTATCACTTGTAAAGTATTTTAAGTTACCATTGAAGGAGAACAAAATGAGTAATCCTTGAAATTCTTTTTAGTAATAAAATGCTTTCTCCTCCAAATTTGCTAATTTTATCGAAAAGTTTAGGTCATTATATCAAGGTTAAATAATAATATAATGAAAAGTTGAAAACAACATCAAACTGTCAAGATGGCCGAGTTGGTCTAAGGCGCCAGTTTCAGGTACTGGTCCGAAAGGGCATGGGTTCAAATCCCATTCTTGACAATATTTTTTCAACTTTTTATGGCATATGCTCATAGACTACTGTTAACAAGGGAAGAGCAAAATAGAAGGATCTACATGTATTTTCCTATGCAGAAAACTAATGCTGCTTATTTTGTTGTGACACCACACTAGTTGATCTGTTGTTAGCCTGGACATATTGAGAACCCTAGTAACTAATTTCATGTCTACTTGAGAGAAAAAGTACAATACTTTATCTGAATCATTTTCTTTCTTCTTCTTGAACCTCTTCAATATGCAACACTCACCTTTCAAAGCATCTTTCAGTTTCTTCTCTTTCTGCATTCCATAACAATAATTAGACAATCACCTTAATCTCGATAAGTCGACAAAATAAATGAATATTTACACTATCAGATTACTTACGGATAACCATCTAGAACAAGTGATCAACTAGTATCAAATTGTCTATTACATCATGTTAAGATACATTAATAATGTAAAAATTCTTTACAACGTTTAGTTTACATTACAATCTCGACAATACTCCCCACATCACATTTTGATTGTCGTTTCACCTCAAGAAACTATTTCAAAATAATTGTCACTTTAGAAATTTACCACTAAAATTTGATAGTGATTGTTTTAAAGTATACTCTTTAACATAAAGTACCTAAAATATTTAAGAAAAAAAAAGATCACATAATAAACTATACCTTATATTTAATATTGAGAATGAAAAAGCTAAAGTGATAGTTAAAATAGGACGGATCGAAGGAGAATGAGTTGAAAACTAATAATTTACCTTTCCAAGACTTTCTTGCACCTCCATTAAAAGCTCTAAATCTCCCAAATCTTTAATAAGCTCTTGATGCTGTATTCCCTTTTTACCCTTCACCATCATGCTTGAACAATTTTTATCAGCTCTAATAAATTGCCAAAATATTCTTATTGATTCTTCCACTATCTCCACCAACAAGTCACTTGTAATGCAATATTCATCTTTATCTCTACCTCTACCCTTGTTTTTGTCCTCTGCCCAAATCGAGTTTAAGTTTTATATATCGATAATATAAAACCATGTTACTTATAAGAATGACAATTAAACCTGTCACTTTTTATACTATCAGTGTATATAACTTTTGAGACGCTTACCTCTTATGAGAGGAACTTGAAGAAGATTACGAAGATCATATCGACTCTTGATGTAACATTGAACTCTTGGCCCTTGAAAATGTTCATTTTCTATAAATCTTTGTATGAGAACTTGAAATTGCTGAAATTCTCCAGCAACTTCATTATACGTACGAGTACCACGAGGATCAGAATCCCATAAACTTAAAGCTTTTCCATATTGCCAATGTAGAAATTCCCATGAAAGACACATTTGTCCAACATATATCACTTCAACATCACTCTGCAATTCTTTGATAAACTTTATCATAGGGTCAGTATTGTCATTATGCCTTTTCTGTTTGAATAGCTTAATATTTTGTGAAATAAGAGATTTTAGTTTTGGACCTGAATGTCTTTGCCTTGACACACATTGAAATGGATCTTTTAGTGGATCTTTCTGTAGATAACCTGTAAAATTTATAAAAAAATATCTCATTTTAAAAATGAATTAATACAAAAAGTAAAAATTACAAGTGATTTTTAACACGTCAAAGCTATGGCGATCAAATTTATCTAGTACCTAATGAAATAAAAAAAAAAGTAGTACGTTCAAGCTAGCCCGGACACGAAAGAAAACTTGAAAATAATGTAATGCATGAAGAGTTGTTACTGACCTATCGTATACATTTTCTGGTACGTCAATATGTCGAATTTACGCATTCTTTCTCTATAACTCTTGTAGAACTTATGAAGTTCACTCATACAATCTTCGCGTTGCAACTTCTCATCAATCTTCCATGGCTCCGAATCTTTCCATTTTAGCGTATCTGATTCTTCCAAAATAGTGGGAAGTCCCGTATCTCGAACTTTTCTAAGTTCCAACTTCAATTGTTCGATCAATTCTTGGTGTTCCCGTAATGTTTCCAAATTATTCGCATCGCCATTTTCAGAGTCCTCGGAGTCACCAAATAGCTTGTAAGAATTTTCATGAAAAAGATCATCCTCAGATAAAAATCGCGGTGCTTGATCTTGTTCAAATTTCGTTAGCTTTTCCATTATATCACTATCACTATCATCAGCATCAGATTCTTGATTTTCCTCTGACATTTCATGATCAAGTTCAAATTCGCCTCCAAAGTTTTCATCTGTCAAGAAGCCATCACTATACGAATCGACTAACTTGTTCATGAGATAACAGACATGATCAAATCCAATTGATAGTGTATCAGAATCAGTAGATATCGAATCCTTTTCAGATTGAAACAGAGAATCGTCAGTAAAATCTAGTTCCTTTAGAAATTGATCTTTTCGAGTATCTGATTCTCCTTTCATGGGATTCAATTCCTCTGTTTTCTCCGTTTCGTCTTTATCACACTCTAAATTACACAAATCCCCTTTTTCTTCCTCATTTATTTCATCTTCATCGCGCTCCAAATTACTCAAATCCTCTTTTTTGTCTTCCTCATCTATCATCGCCTCGATATTGCCATGAACTTCTTTCGAATCCTCTGTTTCGTGAACCTCTGTTTTTGTTGGCGATTTGACTTTAAATGTAGAGGTAACATATTCAACTTTGTCTTCCTTGCTTTTACAAAATTGTTCATAGGTTGGGAATTTAAATGTAAAATTAAACTCTGTTTCATTCGTCTCCGAATTTGGGAATTCAGAAACATCCTTAAAAACATCAGATTCATAACCCAACTGCTGCTTTGTTTCTGGAAAATCATATATTTTCTGATAATCATCTTTGAAACCCGAATTCTTATTTGATCTGTGTGATTCAAATATATGAAATTAAAAATAAAAATTGAATCTTGATTTACAAGAAACGATTAATAACTAAAATACCTGTGGAAAAATGTGGTGATGGAGTTGAACAGAGGAGACAAATAGAGGGAAACAAAGGCAAATACAGTAGCTAAAGGCAAAAACAAATACTGATAGAGGAAATGAGAAAGAGCAGCCATATTCAGAGAAGTAAAGGAAACGAAGTAGCCATGGATTTTGATCAATAAGAAAATTCAGGCAGAAAGCAAAGAAACAGAGGGAAAAAAAACGATTTTCAAGTAAATGAAGACTAATTGGACGAAGAAATTCAACCAAACAGTGAAAAATTGATGATGTCCATATAATTGGGAATTGACAGTTGAGAAGTCCCTGTTTTTGCTGCATATTTTCTTTGAGAGAGAAGGGAAAAAATGGGGCAAGATTGAATGTTGACATCTTCTTCGTTTATCTGTTTTCCAGGAATTAGGGGCTTACGTTGCATATTTTTTCTTCATCTTAAGCCAAGTGTCTTCGACACTAAACTAATACTCACTCCCTCTATTTTGTTTTTTTGAATTATTTGTCATTAAAATATAAAAGATCGAACCATTAGAGAATGACAAAAGTTTTACATTAGTGGTTAACGAATTGGGTGAACTTCTTATACGTATTGGACAATCCTTCTCTCTTTGAGCTAGCTTTTAGGGTGTGAGTTGGGCTCAAAACCTAATTTCACAAATTCCACGAAGGCTTGAATATGAATTTTTATAACCAAGTCTGAGTAATATTTACTATTCGTAACACATTTTTTTTATAGGAAAAAATGCTTCGTAAACTTAGCCTAAACCAGGAACGAAGCTACGATAGTGCTACAGTGTTATTTCTTTTAAAAAAAAATTACACCATATATATAGGTCAAATCTTACTTTATATTGATATATATAATATTTTGGACATTCTTAGGGCCCGTTTGGCCATAAATTTTGCAAGTAAAATTTGGGAAAAAACTTGGCAAATTTTGTTTGTCCATACACTTTTTTATTATTTGGCAAATTTTCCAAATTCCCAAATACTAGAAAAAATTAGTATTTGGGCCAAATTTCATTATTTGAGAAGTTTTAGAAATTCAATTTTTACCCTTAACTTTTTATTTTACAAAAATAATATATTTATTGACATCAACCAATTCAATTAGCTCCCTTCTATATGCATTCTTTTGATTTCATACATTCATTTGTTACAGTTAGTCTTAATGAACTAGCTACTAAATAAAACATGAATTGCATTTATTTTATTTTGGTAGATAAATATTACGTTGTTGATGCTGATCTACGGAATACAAGAGGATTTTTAGCTCAATTCATTGGAATGCGCTATCATTTGCAGGACTACCGAGGAAGTGAAAGAGAGCCTAAGAATGGAAAAGAGCTATTTAACTATAGACATGCTTCTCACCGCAATATAATTGAAAGAACTTTTGGTGCGTGGAAAAGTAGATTCAGAATACTAAGACAAGGCATGAACAACTATGAATGTGACATGCAAGTGAAAATAGTAATTGTTTGCGCTGTATTGCATAATTTTTTACGTGAACAACAAAGTAATGATGGAATATTCAATGAATATGAAAATGATGATATGGTTGTTGATGAAAGTGACGAACTACTGGCTCAGGGTAACAACATCGCTTCATCTTCTCGATCGTCTGATTCGAAAATGCAAGCTCATGAGAAGATATTGTTCATAAAATGTGGGAAGATTATATTAAAGAATAGGTTGAACTCTTTCACAAGAGAAAACATAGGTTTTTCAGTGATTGCAATATTTATTTCCTTTTGTTTTCTTTTCTTTTTTTTTTTCCGAATTTATATTAGTTGTATTTTCATTATCATGATTTATACCAAGACCTTTTCACTATACGAATATTTACTGTAATGATTCTTGTTGATTTGTTGCGGAAGTCATAAATCTTGTTACGTGAGATTTCTATTGTGCTATGTAAT